AGATTCTCCTCTTCCTTTAAAATAAACAAATTACTCAGTTTTCCAACAGTATTTGTACCATTTTTATTTGTAAAAATAACCATCTGAATGCATTTCAATAGTAGCTTACAGTTAGGGTTCTTCATTACATTAATACAGCATTCAGTAGTTGAAAAAAGTTAATAAACTGTGCTTGAGAAGATTCAGGTTGGATTTCCAAGCCATTATTCACCGAAATAAGTCTTCTTCCTCATTTTGTACATAACATTTACTGAAGTCCTTAAACTTTGATTTACAAAAGCAAACAATACCGACAAAACCCCACCGAAACCATCAAACAATATTTTATATTGTTTATTACAAATATGTTATGCAAAATATAACACTGGCACCAGATTCATATCACCATGGTTTGTAAAGATATATTGCACATGCTAAAGCATAAAATATAAGACAAAACCTACAAAACATGAGATATTGGCTTTAATATGTAGATCACTGCATAAGAAACGCATAAAATTACATTTTATACACACACTCAGATTGTCACTAGTTTAAAACGCCCCTTCCTATAACACTGATCTAAGGTTTACTTTTTGTGTAATAAGAAAGCATTTTCAGCACTGCAAAATTATACATTATCCCTATAGAAATTTAGCATATTAATTTTCATTTCAATGCAGGTAGAACATATGAAAAGAAGAAACACTTTATACATTCAAAGAAGGTTTGAAATGAAAATTTACTGGTAATATATTGCTTTTATAACACTCAAATGAAAAAAAGACAAGTTTCACAAAACAGTTTCAGAATACACAAATATAAAAGGCACTCTAATATTTCTTACATGACTAAGAATAAAAATCACAAAATTTTTAAAATCATCCTCAAGATACATAACCAAGTTTCTCAACAGTACAATGGATAAACAATCCATTTTATGTGTTTGTTCTAATTTAATAATCTGGCAGTTGTTTACTGCGTAAAAGTACCAAACACATTATGGTGCCCTTTTAGTAGCGATGAACAGAAATCCCCTGAGCTATTTCACAGCAATTTCAGGCAGTCCGGAGGTTGTAACTCAGTATTTATGAGAGAGATCTGGGACCCAATCCTGCTATGGATTCCATCTGCAACTGTGGTTAAAATTCAAGGTAAAACTATGCTGCTAGTAGAACTGGGGTGGGCAGACTGCTGCCCCTCCCAAAATACCCTTTGCTTGGTGCAGATACAGAAGTAGTCCACATACTGTAAATTGCAGGATCCAGGGTTAAGTGCAACAATTAGGTATGAAGAACTCTACTCTTGTAAAAAGTCCACAGAAAGGCAAGGTGAGTGAGTACTTACAAGAGTAAAATTATTCCCGTGCTTAAATACCTGTCCTAAATTACAAATTTATTTCTACAAGTGATAAATTATATTACAGATTAACGTACTACCGTAACAAGTGCAGGGATTCTGGTAGCTCACGTGAGCTCTGGGATAGGCCCATGCTGAGTACTTCCAAGCATCCTACTCGTGACAGTTTTCCTCCTATATGCACCATACTCAAAACATGACTTTCCCAATGCCTTTAAGGTACTAACAAAGCAAATTATATTCTATCATTTCTGGAATACTGCATACTTAAATCTTTGTTAGTTTACAGAAAAGTTTCACCGATAGTAGAAGTTTAGATTTGGTTTCTAGAAGAATCATAGTAATTCAGTAATCACCTGTGCTTCTATAATGTTATACACCTCATTAAGAGGCAGCAATTGTTGTACTACGCAATTACCAGAGTTACTTGGTACTGCAAATATATAGAAATATTTTCAGTAACTCTGCATGGGAGTAAGTAAAAATACTGAAGGTTTTTAAATGGCTGCTAGAAATAATGCATCCTCCTCTTTGTAAATATGACTGCTTTTCTCCTAATGAAGCAATTTCATGTCGGCTAGAAGGATGTAGAGAAGGGTGAGACTTCTAACTAATTCTGCAAAGCAGTCCACCTGCATCTGTGGTTAAAATAAGATTAAAACACTGATCCTGCTGCTAGATAGGTGACAGCCATTTCCCATGTATTTGTTTTAAATGCCATCATTCTACACAGAAACAAATGCAAAATTTGGGATTTCCATTCACTTCTAAACAGACACCACTGAAAACACCACTCTTCAAAAACTGATCTCATATTTTCAGTGCTTTAAGAAAGGTGGTTATTGCTATTCTGCAATTTTAAAAGCAAAACACTTAGAGAGAAGTCAATCATACAAATATTATTCTGTACTAATTTCAAGGAGAAAACTAGGGTTTAGAGCTTTTGAGATCTTTTTGAAATGTTATTCCACTGCAGAAAATGTAGGGTTGAGGGAAAAGAAACGTTCACCTTAAGAGACACTATATCCCTTGTGATGTTTTTGATTTAAACTTCAGAAATTTGTTAAAAGTTCAAGGAAACAATGTTTAATTTTAGCAAAGCAAAATAAACTTCATATATAGTTAATTTTTTTTTTTCTAATTAAAGAACTGGAATCTGCCAACAGACTTTTAGCAATTCAGTGGAACACAGCCAAAAACTGAAAGTACAATAAAAATCCATACTTTCATTTACCCTGGCAAAAATATGTACTGAGGATGCTTTCTCATCCTCCCAGCACAGATTGAGGCCTGCAGACAGCCAGCATGTGAATCAGGAGAACTTTCACACCTTTACTCCATGCTATAATCTTTTCCCCCCTCTTTAAAGTAGCTGCACGGTGTTCTCTCTCTCATGTCTAGCAAGTATTGGATCTCTTTCTTATGCTCTTCAGTGATGAAAGCTGTTTTGCTCTCTGCTTTTGACCAACGTAGCCTGTGGACTTTATCTCTGAGTTACATTCAACAAGATTGGCAAACTTCTGAAGTGCATCAGCCCTTCCTTTTCCACTCAGGCCATCAGTCTTGCCTAGAGTCACATTTCATTTTGCATTATGCCAAACAAGATGCACAAAAACTAACACGGAGAACAAGCCATGGTTATTTTTCCTGGGCAGTTGTTTCATTTCAAATAAATATAAACACATTTACATTAAAAGCATATGAACATTTTCTTTAGTCTGGGAAAAAAAACTTGTGGTCAACACATCATCAGTTACAAACGTCAAACTGTCAACTTGAAACCTGTGTCATAAAAGGTAAAACACACTCAAGACTATTCATTATCTGAAAAGTTTATATTTTTATGGTTTAGAAAAACTACTTCATTCTGTCACTCACATTTGAAGAAAAAAGAAAAGTAGCAAAGTCTTTTAGTTACTGAAGCATTTTGGTCCTCTTGGTACAGCTGGTTAGTTCATGATAGGTTTTTGTTTGTTTTTTTTGTTTGTTTGTTTGTTTTTGTTTTTAAAGTCTCATTCTTCCTTTTGTACATCTGTTGCAGACGAGGATCGGGGTCCATTTGACCTAGAAACTTTGGCAGAAGGAGTAGACATATTCACAATGTTGACATTGCTTTAAAAAGCTGGTGACAATAGGCTTTTTTAGCCTGTATCTCCAGTCCCTTGCATGGTATATTTTTATATTTTCTGCTGTTTGGTCTTTCAACTTTTGGTATTACACTTTCACGGTTTTACCTTTGCTCTGTTCTGTTAATCCAAACTCTGGCAAAAGTATTTTAAAATTTGATACTGTTTACAGTAAGAATAAATAATTTAAGTGTAGAGAAAGAAAAAAAAAAATCCATTTAAGTTGGCAAGTCATCATAAACATTTAGATATACCTCCGTCTACACCTGATTTTTCTTTTTCTGATTCATGGTTAATGGCTCAGGTGACAGAAACTTCTAATGACCCTAATTCTGTAGTGCAAATAAACCATACACGTTTGTGCTGAATTGAGAGGGGGAAAAAAAAAATAAAGGGCCAAGTCATTTTCAATTTACACAAGTGATTCCACTAATGTCTGTGGGAAAATATGTTGAGATGAGTAGCATTTGGCCTTCAGAATTTATAAGTATATTTTTCTAACTGTGAGCTGCAACTAAGAACTGTAAAAAGTGCCTTGTGTATGTTTAAGTGCTTAATACATGCAGAATGTAAAATATTTCATTTCCTGTAGAAAAGCAATACAGGCAGTTTTAAGATTACAACTTTACCTTTGGTTTGTGTAACAAATTTATCTAATTAACAGAGCCCCTGGAACTAGGAAACAGACAGAGGAAAGCGTTGATGGTCGAAATCTATGAAAAACTACATTGGAAATACATTTGTGTACTAAAGGTACAGCTAAAACATATAAGTACTTTTTACAGACAATTCCCTGTTTACTTGTGCTGTCAAAAAGAAAAAGGCATTTTCTCCTTTTCTGCTTAAAATAAGAGGTAGAGACTTTCCACAGGGGCACTTAGGGCCTAAAGAAAACATGAGGAAGCCGAAAAGCTGCAGAACGTTAAACGGGAATGCGTTCCAGCAAATCTTACCAATGCTGCAAGTCTTCCAATACCTATCTGTCAAGAATAATAATGAAGAATATAGCAGTGGGATTTAAGCTTTTTAAAAAGACAAAAAAGGTAAAATTAAATAATAATAAAAAATTTTGAATGTCAAAAGTCAAAATGTTTCAGAATCAGAATCATTTTCATTGTACCCATCCTCTGTTCCTATGTTATTACTCAAGGGCTTACTATAAGAGTTAATGCTACCCATGCTGGAGCCATCGCAGTGATGCGTCCTGCCCAAATTGTCTTTTTTAAAACAAACGAAGTTGAAAGTCGTCATTGAACTGGAAGGAGAAAAAGGCATCATGGTAGCCAAAATGAGTGCCAGGCAGTCAGCCACGTCTTTGTTAGGAGCGCAAGCCAGGGCTGGCGTATGACCTGGGCACAAATGCAGACAAGGCAACGGTTAGTACTAAGAGTATTGAGAATGGCACTGAGCATTCCTCATATACATCTCTAGATGACTTCATAAGCGGGAGATGTATGTTCAGTTACAATCATGCCAGGCAGCAGAGGTGTGTTACTTATTTTAAATTAGACATGCTGGGAAAATATACACTTCATGGAGCATTTAAATCACTGTGACCACAAGCACTATTTTATAAAAACAGGCAGCAAACAGACTTCACGATATGAATAAAAGCACTTGCTAAACACAGGTCTACAGCACAAACCATATGATAAATACAGAACATAAAGTATACAGCAACAGGGACAGAAACTGGCGTCAGTTTCTATAGATATGAACGAGTCTCATTCTGAGAACAATGACTTTCATTAGAACATAAAAGGTATTAGTTTAAAAACATTTTGAAGTAATTAACAAACAATCTCAGAGACTGATCAGCTGAGTATCTACTCAGCTCGGAAAGCAGTTTATTTAGGAATTAAATTATAAGAAAAAAGAATTAGACCAGAGCATGTGGTACATGTAAAGCAGGTATGATTATATGGACAGTTAGTTATCCAAAATTTATGTTATGCTAAAAGAATAATGACTGTATTCAGGAAGGACAGCATACATTTTAAATATAAAGTGAATATAATAAAGATATCAAGTAAAACAAAGACCTGGGGGAGCTATTAGAGTTCATCTTCATTGCAGTTTAACTTGGTTCCTGTTCAAAGTGACAAATTTTTGAAACTAGCTTGTTGACTATACTTGCTACCTGTCCATTTTGCGGGCTGCTACCTAGTACTCCAGCACTGTCCAACAAATTCTCCTTTATACTAAAAGCAAACAAATTCTTTCACAGATCACTACATCTCAAATGCTCCAGCAGTAGTAATCCGAGGCAGTGACCACTACTGATATCCTACTGCCTCAGGTAAGTTGAAAACACCTGCAGTCTAAGTGAGTTTAGCAGACAAACTTGAGCACAGTTTTGTAGCAAACTGCCCACTACCCATTTAAGCGCTAATTGCAGTGACAGCATACACTCAACAGACTCTTTTCTTCCATGGAGCTACAAGTGTGAATATTTTTTAGGTAAGATTGTACTTAAATTTCTCTATCTTTTACACTGCTTATACAGTTGAAAAGAAAAATTAAGATGTGTATCAAGCTGAAATGTAATCATTGCTCATTACATATATGCAAATTAGTTAGGTCTGAATGTAACGTTTTGAAAGGTAAAACTTTGGCTGGAAGCTAGTCTGGTTCGCTTTTTTCTGTCCAGTAACTCTGACAAGAGGTTATTGCCAGATGCTTTCAGTAGAACTCAATCATGCAAGTATGCCGAGTTGCATTTGGTTGACAGTAATACTCACCACTTAGTTCTTTTCATCCATACAGCTCAAATATCTTGCAATAATGGGTAAGTAGTATTATTATTACTGTACAGATATGGGAAGATGGAGGTACCAAATGGTTACATTAATGCCTTTAAGTCAGTATTGTAAGAGAGACCAACTTATTTCAGGAAGACATTTCTGAAAACAATAATTACAGAAGAACAGTATGGAGCCCCTTTATGGGCTTTATAATGTGTTTAGGGAAGGACTTCACTGACGTCTGAAACAAAATTATCAGATTAATTAACTAATCATGTATTTTATTAGACAGTAGTTTTCACTTGCATCTTGGATTTGATCAGACAATTGGAAAACGCAGGCTTTGATCTCAGAATGAACTGGTGGGATACAGTCAAATATATGTTGATGGTTTTCTTCCTACCCATTAAACATGCGCTGATTGAATGCATAATCCTTAATTCTTCTGCAAGGCGTCAGAATTATCCGGTGCCACTTGCATGTTTAGGAAATTCAAGTTACTGCACTCAAGCATTAAAAAAGACTAGCTGTTGACAGTACATGCAAAATGAACAGTAAAAGGGACCACTGTGATGTTTACAACACACTTTTATATAAAATAAAAAATAATCTGTTGGGTTTTGTTGTTTTTTTTTTTCCCCCAAGGTACTCACACAGCTCATTGTCTGTTCTTGAAAGCATATAAGCATCAGCGTTGTCTAACCAGTTTTTAGGTCTATTGCTTCAGTCATTTGAAAAATTACCTGTTAGGTACTACTGAAGATTGTCAAAGTGCATTATTTTACTTACCATTTTCATCTACTGCTAGGACACATGCTCCTTTGGCTAGCAACTCTTCAACCACCATCTTTAACCCATTTCGCGCAGCAATATGGAGAGGTCTACAAAGCAAAATATGGAGAGGTCTATAAAAGCTCCATTCAAGTTTAGTTTAAAACAGACCTTCTAGAAACAGGTAGGCAATGCTTAAAGCACGTCCAGCATCAGAAGGAGAATGTTTTCCTTCTTTTGATCATTACAACTATAAAACATATGTGCCTGTCCATTAAATCACGTGAATGTGTATTTTGATGTAGCCTCCACATAAATGACCTCATATTATTTTTCTACCAGGCCATACATAGGATTGGCATCCAAGGAGTCAGAATAAAGGGAAAAGGCAACATAAATTAGGTCCTTTCAAGGGCAAGCACTTGAAAAATTCTGAAATCTATATTTTTTGTTCTATGAAAAAATCCAAGACATGAATTTCAAATTCTAAATCCAGAATCTTCTGGTAAATCAATAGAACTTTAGAGAATCGGGCTATACTTACGTCTGCAATGCATTATTTTTTGCATTAATAAGGCTCTGTTCTTGTATCTTGTCAAGTATTAACAAGGCACATTTTTCATGACCCTGTATTTAAAAAAAAAAAAAAAGTATTCATTTGCTAAGGAATTTAAAACTGAGACAAATGAAATGTTTTATATAAAAGTGAAATGTAGTAAGTTAATTTAAGATACAAAACATGCTTCTTAGTTTATAAGCATGTGTACTAGGTGAATTGTAAAAGCCTTAAAACTCCATTTACAAATTGCCTTTCCTAGGAGCCTTCTGCACGATTTAGGCATTTACCAATTACCTGTTTTTCAACCCTCCACTCATTATATAGAAATTCACCTTCTCAGCTTTCAAAGACTGGTGTTTCTTGTAAGAAAGCATTCAACTGATTACTTATTAGAACTAGTTAGCAACACAGAAAGAGAAGGTTTAATCTCAAGTAGTACTGTACTTCTTAGCCTTTAAATGCTTTTTTTTTCCTGTGTTATTAAACTACTACAAAGGCCCTTCAGTGTGAGAGCTCTGGAACAACAAAACTTTGGAAATAATACAGAGCTTTGGAAATAATACAGATTGGGGCCTCATTTCTGATACTGTTTCAGTACAGCAAGGTGCAGACGGCCAGCTCTGCAGCCCTGAAGTTGAAGGGCTGCCTGGAGGACCTTGAGAACTGAGTTAAACTCAGGTATCTAAGAATTTGGAGTAACACAGTCATAGCTGGAATCAAATCTGTGAATAGCAGGAAAATAAAAGGTTCCGGGAGAGGGAATTCCATGGACTTTCTTGTTGCAAAAACAGGAAACAGTAGCAACAACTGGATTTAACAGGAAGAAGTTAACAGGAAGAAAGGGTGGGAAAAGACACCAGCACCAAATCTAATCAATGTCACTGTTTTTACTACTAAGAGACCTTAAGGGCAAATTTGGGGTTGCTTCCACAGGAACTGGAGAATAAGAATAAAGAATACTTCTTCTTTTTTCCTACTGAACTTATGTTAAGCAATTTTACAGCAACTGTTTGGTAAAATCTGAAAGGATTTTCCATCATTTCTCTTAGTGTTGTATTTCAGAAGTCATAAGAGGCAGTATATTTCTCAATTTACTAAACCTTGCAGACAGACTTGAGAAAGAGCTCAGTATATATAGCGTTCACTCCCCTGCCACAAGTCTGACTACCGTTTATTCATTGCTGAAAATTTTTCTAGGAGCACACACAAGCAGAGACAGACTGTGAGGAATATATGAAGCATACAGAGGTGCCCAACTTACTTTACTGCTAGCCAAGTGCAAAGGTGTGTTCAAGTCCTTATCTTTTAATGTCAGGTCAGCCTTGGCGATGTTCACCAAAAAGTCTGAAGTACAGAAACAAAAATCATTGAATAAACCCAATGGGGCAGATTAACATGTAGAAACAAAGGAGAAAATATAGTCCTATTTCAATATATTTGTGCATACCCACTAATCAATTACACCTTTATGTGATGTAAGCTTCAGGAACATGAAGTGAAAATAATGAACGAGAACGGACTACCCTTGTGCAGTGAATCAGCAATCAAAGGCAGAGCTAATACCTCATTCATTTTACTCGGAATTGCCAAACACATGCTCATCTTCATTTATCTGTGAACTTCCCATCTGCAGACCAGCAGAGTCTGCCCGAATCACCTTATCCTGGGAACAACTGTGGATCATGCATTGAGAGTCTAAGTGGATATAAAGAATCTGGGAGTATGAATTTAGGGTGCAGTCTGTGCTGTCAAAGATAGAGAAAAGGGAGTACTGATAAGCAAATACAAGCCTAGCCTATATACCTCTACATTCGGTAGACTAGCCTGGAAAAAGCAGCCACTTAGAGCTGCCATTATAAATCCTATATTGCCGTTTCAAGAACAGGACTTCTTTTGACAGAAAAAAACAGGTTACACCTAATCTTTTCCTAACACGTCGTTTTACTGCCCCATAAAATGAAGAGAGTAAACAGAGAAAAAGGTTACTACTCCCAGCATGCTCTTTACAATGCACTCCTAAAGCAAATCGACTTGAGTTTGTTGATACCAATGTTCAAAGATTGCTTAGAAGGAATGACTGAGAAGAAGAAAGTTTTAATGATGTGAAGGTAGCTTCTTATGGACATACACATTTTATTTCTCTACCTTAGTTTTCACAAGAAAAATGACTAACAACGAGGGACTAGCAACTGCAGTAGCGTTCATGCTTCCAGAGAAGTAAGATAAGGATGTACGTACCTACAGCACCTACGTGCCCGTTGTGAGCTGCCATCATGAGAGGCGTTTTCCCTGAATGATCGGCGGCGTTCACCTGTGCGCTGTGACTGAGGAGAAGCTGCAGGCACTCCACGTGGTCAGCAAAGGCTGCTGCATGGAGGGGAGTCCTGCCAGAGACAGCAACATCACCACATTACTGAGTGCACAAGAGGACTTCTACCCGCTTTGACGGTTATCCCTTTCTAGAAGACTGTAGAACTCCAGAAGTTGTTCCTTGCCTCCCTATGGCATTTTGTGACTGAAGTATGGACAACAGCGATTAAGGACATTTAGTATCCAACCCAGCTGATGGTGTTACTTCAGCTTTTCCTTATCACTAAGGGTAAAGGATTTAATCTGTATTGCCAGTGGTCTTGAGCTCGTTGTAATTAAGAGGAAACAAGGAGTATTCAATTTTTAGAACTTCAACAACATTAATTAAATATGTATATACAGTGAGGAAATTATCAATGTGACAAATAACTTAAGGATTTGATGAAGAGATAGGCATCTCTCGCTGTATCAGTCTGAGTCACTTTATTTTGCTGCACAGACATTTTCAATTATTTGCCTCGTGAACGTTGATGCTCTCAATGAAATGCTTTTTTATGTGTACACAGTATCACTCCATTTAGCAAAGGTAAATGTGTTTAAATGTTAAAGACGAAGTAAACAGGGTCAAGGAAATAGCCTGTAGCCATAGAGGCTTTAAACAAAAAAGAAATGCTCTTTCCTTTGACAGCAAAATTCCTACAAGTGAGCCACCGTTTAACTTCCTTGCAGTTTAAGCTGCAGTCTGAAGAGCTAGCAAGTCTTAGCTCAACAATATCAGATAAGGATTAGTCCCAGAGATTAGGAAACAATTATGAACACTAGATGGAGTCAAGAAGATGAAATGCAATTTAAGAAACTCTTACCTTCCTTTGTCATCTTTGCAATTGACAATGCTGGCATCTATGGCTCCAATAAGCAGTGATGCACAGTTTTCATGATCATTAATTCTGCAAAAGAAAAGGTATTTTTTAAAAAGCTAAAAAGTCCACATCTTTCCCCACTATCCCATATTAATTTAGATAATTTTCCATTAATATTTCTTACTGATTATTTCTAATTTGTCCTAACATACCTTTGCCTTAATGCTTTTCTGATCATTCACCATCTCTCCATTTAACCAAACTGCATCTCCTACTAAGAATTTGAGTCTCTACAGCCAAGTTGATCCTATAATTCACTGTGCACAAAGTCAAACGAGAGTGCAGCACAAACCTTCAGATTAAACCCTTAATACCTTAAAACCTTTTACAACAGTCTAAATGTCACACACACCTGAATCTGGAAAGCCAAGTCATACTTAACTACATATAAAAGGCTTTATTTTAGTGTTTAAGGTATCAAAGCCTACATCTCTTCCAACTCATACCATTAATACTTTTACATGAGGGAGGTACTCAACCGATACTCCCTCTGGTTATTAGTAATTTGTCTTATTATGAAAATGAGTAGTATTTGGTAACAGTGCAGGACATTAGTTAACAAACACACACCAAGCTGGTTTAGCAGCAGTTCTTTTGCATTTAACTTGCATGTGTTTTTAAACGGGTTTGCGAATTGCATGCTAGTTTGAAAAAAGACAAATACTGGATTTTTTTTTTTTTTTTAAATAACCACTGGAAATTCAGATTTCATACACTGTGTTTCAGCCACAAAAGATTTTACTTTAAGCAGAGTAAAAACAGTGCTTTTCTAATGTTTTTATTTCTCTAATTTTTTATTAATGGTAATTCTAAGGTTTGATGCCCAGTAAATTACTGTTCTATTTTCTAACGGCACTGGACCGTAGAAGGGTTGATTGCACAATTATAAGCCCTATCATTATTGCTGGAAGATAACATTCGTTCTTCTAATAGAACAAAGAGTGCATAATTCAGTCATTCTGATTGTTGGCAGGAGGTAGGAAGGTTTATATTTGGTTCTACAGTGCTTAATTCTTTACTCTTCTGATGGTTTAGATGTTCTAATTAGCATGCCAGGTCCTACACACTGAAGTAATCTTCCATTACTTGGAAAATGCATTTGCATTCGTTATGTTGTGCAAAGTTAGGATGTTGTAACTGAATAAAGAATTTGTCTAAAGTACATGCATGGAAGCAGACGAATGATTCATAATAGCCACCTCTTTTTGTTGTTCATAAGTAATGCCAGAACTTTCTCAGAAGAAAAAGAGACCTTGCAGGGAAATCAGACTGGAGAAAAAACAACGGAGGACGTCCTGAACAAAATAGGGCCTGCACAGAATGCCACTCTAACACGGTATATAGATGGTTGTTTCAAAGTCCTTTTCTCATTTATGTTTTGTTCCCATTACTAAAAAAGGATAATCATGATTGGGACAAGTTTTTTCATTTTCAGCCACTGAAAAACAATTTCAGAAGGATCTCAAAAACTCAAACTTACGCAGACCAGACACCTAGGGCACCATAGCCCAGGTCATGGCATAAGAACTATGTAATTCTACCCCGTGTCAGGAAAAGACACAGGTTTGTAGTCGTAAGCGAGGGAAGAGATAAACTAGAAAGGGAGCAGAAATGCAGTTCTTTAATTACAAGTCAGTATTTCATCAAGTAGCTTAACTATATTAAATTTATGCAAAAATACCTTTTATTTTACTACTTTTTTCAGCAGAAGGATAAACACGATTTTATCATCAGGTTTAAAATTATTTGCTCAAACTATTATCTGAAATAAAAATAGCTTTCTTCTTCTTGTACTGCTAACTTTTCCAGACATACGCTAGCGCAACATATTTGCATTTGTTACTGGAAATTTCTACTTACACGGCACAGTGCAATGGAGAGAAGCTATTACCATAGAATTTGCGGAAAAATTTTTGTTCCAATAGTACCTCTATGCAGTTTTCATGACCTATAAGAGATCAGACATTTCATAGCATTTTGCACAAAGCAAGGAATTCATGTAATTCACAGTAGGCTTATATAAGTTAGAGTTTAACACTTGAAATTCAAAGTTAAACACAATGTATATGTAAGCTCTCATGTGATAAAATTCTAACAAATAGAAATTTTTTTTTTTTATGGCAGCCAGAATAGATTCAGGCTAATACTGGCACTTAGTGAAAAACAGGAAAGGGAAAAAAAAGTCTCTTTTTTTCCCCGTGAGCTTACGTATGTGGCTTCATACACCTCCAAAGATGGTCTTAAATAACGGTACTAAGAAGCTTTATCCTTATACTAAGCAGCAAGTTCAGATTATCCATTTCAGAATAACCCCTTCAGTTCAGACCATCTATGCGCAGATGGTCTCTTGCATCAACAGATTAAGGGGGGGGGAATTCCTGGCCCCGCAGAAATCAATGCGAATTTTATCACTGACTTCAGTAAAACCAGATGGGAGCAAATGAGCACAACGATTGCAATATTCCTCTAAGAAATGCAGAGCGATTGGTATGTATTGCTGGAATTTCCCTGGCTTCTGATGTGAAGGGTAAAAGTAGCCCAATGTGAACTACAGAGAGCAAGTAGATGGGAAATAATTTGATTCCTCCATTTCAAGCTTCTTGAAACATAGGCTACTTTGTTATCACATTTCCCTAAAACAGAGGCCACATTGGGACTTGGCAAAAATCCACATGGAGAGACTTACCATTGTAACAAGCCCAGTGCAATGGGGTATAACCTTGATTATCTTTCAAACTGCAGTCTTCCTCCGAAAGTGCCATCTGCAGTAACTCACTCAGCCAGGTGGCGTGACCCCGAGCTGCTGCAAAGTGCAGAGGTGTTCTGCCTCTGGAGTCTTTACACAAAATAGACACTTCTTTCTCTAACAGCATCTGAACACACTCTTCATGCCCAGTCATAATCTGGTAACAAATAAATAAGTAAAGAAGTTGACATAATACAGGTCCGTGCCCAGGAAACAGGGCATATGACTGATGCCTGCGAACATGAAACAGCCTAGCTGGGATTCAGAAAGCAAAGAGGAAAGCTCCCTTGCTCCCATGAGTATCTACGATAACCTGATGCACTGAAATACATGTGGTACAGTGTTTCAAAGGCACAGATTACTAGTCTGTGGAAGGGACTCTCCACTGAAGTAAGGCACAAAAGCTAGCAGGAGTTTGAGAAAGAGAAAACAGAGGAACAAATGGTTCTGAGATCCAGAAAACCTGCCTGAGTCCTCCTCTTTAAAACCATGCCCAAATGTGAGGGAAGAACTGGGAAAAACGGTACGAGAACATCAGAAATAGGAAAAGCTGTTTTAACAGCTGGCCAGCTGCTATCCGTGACCTCTGTATCATACACAGATTATCTTTGGTATCGTGGCCACGTTCATCTATTGGTATCAATACAGAACAGAAATTGTATGCCATAGCTTTCATTACAGACAGGTGTTGGACTCCTAAGCTGAACTGCTTCCTACAGCTACCAGAGAGTTCTGTATAAATACGGTATCTCTTGCAACAACTTCACACTGGCTAAGAAGCTGACTCCTAGAAAAGATGAGAACTAACCCTGAGTTTCACTGCCTCCAGATTAAAACATAAGGCTTATTTGAACCATCCCCCCCTCCCCAAGAAATATGAAAATAACTGCTTGACAGTTCCTTTAATTATTTTCAGAATTTATAATGTACTCAATTATAAGAATAAGAGCGCTACAGTAAAGCCTCCAGAGACGAGATAAACTAGGCTAATCAGTATTTGATCTAATTCATTAAATTGAATGTGAAATAAAGTCAAAAGCAGAGCGTTACTGAGAACAGATCTGTCCCAATTTTCACCTTGTTGACGGTGCTTGTTGATATTTACAATCATTTACACTATTCCCTGCATTCAGTATCCCTGTATTTATAAATGAAATGTAATGACAGTATAAGAAATAATTAAGGATCATAAAAATTAAGTCACCCCTCGATGTAAAGCTGTGCATCCCAGGAGATCAGCTGCATCTACAGATGCTTCTTTTTCAAGTAACAAGGAAACGGCATCAATGTGCCCATACGCCACGGCAAGCATTAGGGGGGTTCTGGAAAACAAAAGCAGTCACAGCTATAAAATGGCATACTACTTGCCTCTTAACTTACAGGAATAGAGACAGCAGGAAGCCCTGCGTTTCTCTCCATTCCTACGCGCAACCCTATTCCTTTCAGCATACTCTGCACTCATCTATATAAAACCCAAGCAAAGATGTTTCATATGAAATTATTCGTAAGAAGTTTAACAGCCAGCCACCAGGACTGAAATAGAAGCAAACTCATTTTAAAGTAGTTTACAGAGCAGCATCATTCAAGACAATCTGTTCTCTTAATAACATACAATTATTGTCACCTCCAGCAACGCATAAGCTTCCCGATACCCAAGCGTCCTGAATAAATGCCCCTGCTAGTTTGTTATCAGCTTGGTATAACTAAGACATTTGTTTTGAAAATGCTGTGTAATTGTTTAAAGGGCAGGAAGGGACATGAGGAAACTATATTAAAGCCAAATTTTGGAGTAACATATCTTCCATTTTTTTCCTGAAGGGGATCTAGTCTCCTTCTATTTTTAGATAAGACTAATGCAATTTAAAATACATGCACAGTGGAATATGTTGCAGGTATCCAAAGTGAGTTCAAACATTCATATTTTCACTTTAAAAAAATACTTTATATTTACACTTTACATATTCTTTAATGAGAAGTAACACTGTGGTAGGATCAGCTCAGATTTAGGTGTCACAATGAATGAATATTCTGTGCCACCTTGCAAGCCTAATACACTAAGTAAAACCTGACATATCAATTTTTTGGAAAGCAAAAAAAACTCTCTGCAGAAACATCCCAGGAGCTTGTTAGTTTTTACTGAATCTGGCCCTAAGCATCTAAGAAGAACTGTTTAAAGTTTGAGGCAGGAACTAAGATTAATGAATATTCCTTTACACATGGCTTAGATCAACTGAACATGCACTTTGTAGTCTCTGCCAAATTCTATAAGGAGAAATACAGGAAATACAGTACTTCAACTAAATGCTTTTTTGTGAGCAATCTGAGATGCTATTTGAGTCACAGAGCTGAAAGAAAAGCGTCACAACGAAAACTTACTGTCCTTTGGCATCTGTCACATCAGGATTGTCTGCCACTTCTAGCAACAACCGTAGACATGGTGTGTGACCATTGATGACTAGAAAGAAACACAACATTTTTAAGAAGCTGTCTTACACCAAAACAAATACTTACTTGTGTGACCAATGCGAAAACTTAATTTCAGATATTCTTCCAATTGAATGTTTATGGATAAGAAATTTCTTTGTAAACAAGGGAAATATTCCACAATATAAGAAATTATTGTTCCTACAATTTTCAATTAACTTGTACCAATGAACTTGTGAGCTTTTTTTTCTGGACCACAGTACTACAAGGATTATTTTTCTTATACAAAAATCACAAATGAGTAAAACAGAACTGAGATTCTCACTACTGAGAAGATTTCTACTAAACTAGATAACATTTCAAAATCCCTCAGAGTGGGAAGACCAAGTTTTCTTTAATCAGTTTTGGAAGTAACTGGGCAAGGCTCATTAAATTTGTGTGGATTGTCCAGGCAAATCCTTCAGTGTTTTTACCCTTTGCTGCTGGAAAACAGCCCCGAGCTACGAGATTTTGCAGGGTCAGACACTGGAAACCCATCCGTGTTTCAGCTGCCTTACAGCCTTCAAATTTATACAACTCATGGGATGAACAGAACGGTATTTTCTTCTTTAAAAACAGTAATTTCGGTACTCAGTAGATACAGATTGTGTTTTTAGTACGAGAGTCGTGCATTCACGCTGCCTACACCCTGTGGGCTGAGGCAGAAACCGGGGTCGCAACCTATGTCACATCATTCTGGCAGATAAATGGGTACCCATCTTCACAACACTTAAATCACTCATCCAAAAATAACCTTGGTTGCACTACCCAGAAGAATAGAGGACATTTTTAGTTATTTACCACAAAGCAATACCCTATACATAACATGTAAGCAGTTCCGCAGGGCTGATGAGTCACTGGCTTCTGGAATAAATATCTGTTCTTTCCCCCAGCAGGAAGAAAAGAAATCATAACTGTTCACACCAGCATCTGAAAAGGATTTTGGTAAATAAATTTGAGAACAGATAATCCCAGAAACTCTTAGGAGTTGACCCAGCGATGGCTAAGCATTAGAGACCCTGCAGGGAACAGTAGTTTTGCCAGCAAAACTACAATGCTAGCAGTAGGGAAACATTTGCAATAGATTCCCCAAGCTAGACAGAGGAAAGACTGGGGGCAATAAAATTATACAGGGAACATATAATTTAGGCTAAGGAAATTCTCCGTATTATAGGTTCAAAAGGAAGTCTATTCCCTGAGGGTAACAGACAGAGAAAGCAAAAATACTTTATTAGGTGAATTATTTCTCCAGTAAAGTTACAAAAGCTTTTACTGAGCAGAGCTCTGCAGAATCCTGTAACCCGAAGCAGCCGCTCAGGTCTCTGCGAGCGTCGCGTTCAGCGGCCCTGCCTGAGTAACTGGGAGGAACGAAGGCAAGTGCGTTCATGGGGATGGGCACACACGTTTCCTCTTGCTTCTCTCCAGGGCACGGTGCCTATATGCGTGTATTCCCTTTTGCGTGTGCATAGCCATCCTGTCACTCAGGGCATTAATTCAGCAAGAATTCTGCTAGATTTTTCAAAATACTCCAATTCAGCTCTAACACTTGCATTGCAGATTGAAAAAAAAAAAAAAAAAAAAAAAGAAAAGAAGTCGAGTACTGCAGTGGCGCCCCACAGTTTCCAATAGGTGGCATCAGTCCTTGCTAAAACACTCCTAAACAAAACGTATTGTTATGAAACAGCATAATAAAAATCATGAGATTGCAATGGGCTTTCTAGAACAGTTGGAAGCAGAACCTTTACGTCCCAGCCAGTCTCCATAAAACGCTCCATAGCCTGACTGCAACGTTCCAAATGGACATGTTCTCCTGAATTAGTTATAAATGTTTTGGGGCAAAAAACCCCAAAAACCAAGGCAACATCTTCTACGATGGAGAGGTGCAATTTTCCTTCACACTCACCTATCCCACTGTAAAACAGAGGGAACAGAAAGCTCTTCCGTTTTACCGCAGGATAACCTGGGTTAGGTTTCCACAGCTCCCGGAGTGGTGATCCTGCCAGTCTACCCTGCGGTAACACGCTGCAGATGCTTTTCCAGTGCCAGGTTATACGTGCATTTATCTCACGTTGAAAATCCTCTAAATTCATGGCAATGGAAACAACTTTTTCCTTTAGGGGGAGTTCAAATGTTCGAACTGCCTGTCCAACATTTTCCTTTCTGTTTAATGTACATGTTCTCCATTTCTTTACTCTATCATGTCCTAGGGGTAGGGTTTTTTATTTCTTGTTGGTGTTCTTTTTTTAAATACGCATATTTTGTTTCATTGTAGTTTTAAAGAACATTTTGCTTGTACTCCTGCAAGATTTTTTTTAATCTGAGAAGCCAAAAGGTAGAAAAAGAACATAATAAGAATTTGTATGGAAGTAAGAAATATGACTACCAAAAATAACGCTTTCTGTTCAGCAAATCTACTCCCAGATCATATTTTGAGCCAGAACTGCTAACAAAAATATGGCTTTTTTACTATTTACTTTTCTCAGTACTGCAGAATCCTTGCAGTGCAGCTGTGACAATACGAAACATGTCACTCTAGCCAATTCTTTTAAATAAATGCAAAGCCATTGCCACCAGTGATGAGGTACCAGACAAAGTCAACACCTTGTCCATCAGACCCCAAGTTGCATTTGAAGTGGCTATAGAAAAGCTCTTGATCAACACAATCGCAGTTTTGATTTAAATTGACTAAACCAATACTTCTAACAGGGCAAGGATCAGCTGGATTTCAAATTACGTGTTTTCATCAAAAACAACTAGAAACCTCACTGAATTCTGGTCTCAAATTGCCGATTTGTACTCTCAGACTGCACACCCTGTACATTACTACTCACAATGAATTAATGATGTATTCCGTTCGGATGCAAAATTTAAGCAGTCAGAAAGCATTTTTCAGTATGCTGTTAAGATCTACTGCACAGGTTTTCTTTAGTACTGCACACAGAATTCATACAGTGTATTTGGCCTTGTGCTTCCAGGTTGCACGTATATGATCACGCTTAAGAACGTGATACCTTTAGAGAGTGTGCATTTTATTCTAAGTAAGAAGAGATGCACAGGAAGACAAATCTGACCCTGGAAATAAATGTTGTCAAATAAAGTACTGACTTTACTTCCCGCTAGAGGTCACTGCTATGCTGCACTGAGTCCCTTGAACAGCCAAAGGAGCAGGAAGTTGAAACACTGTTTTCTTTGTCACCTCCCCATATTTATCAGACAGGTACCTACTGAATAATAACCTTTAAATAAATGGAAAATTCGACATTTTCCAGTTAATCATGGAACATGCAGAATTCAGCACATGAGGAATGCAACAGACTCCCAACCACAGCAAATTCATAAGCTAGCTCAGGAAGAGGATAATGCCTGAAAGGGGGTGAATTTCTGTAGTGCTGCCACTGCGAAAGGTCAAAGGTTTTGAACACGGACAATTTGATCACCAGTGAAAGCCTACCTTCGTTTCCAGCCTTTCTTCGTTAGGAGAACCACTGAGGCAAACGTTCACTCTTCCCCTGATCTTTTGGCCCAGGAACCACGAAGAGGAGGTAGGGGAATCACCACACATCATAATGAGGAGGTGGTAATAGAGAGGTAAGGTAAAGTAGAGGCAAGCAAGTAAGGGCAGAGCGATAGTGGTGTGGAAAAACAGGGGATTCTGTGCGAGAGAGGACTGAACTGTGCAGACAGAGAGAAGACCAAGGAACTGAGAGGTGAGAGTTAACTCCACAACCTCAGCAAGCAAGCTGTCCCCAATACATGTCAAAATCTCCTTCCTCTGTTTAGAAGAACTATGTTGACTAGCGTTGGTAGGTAGGTTAAGACAACTGCTATCTCCTTCTGTGTTGTAGGCTTTATACTGCAAGAACAAATAAGCATACGCTCACCAGAAGCGTGGAGGGGAGTCCTTTTGGTGACGTTGTCTTTTACAGTGACAGAAGCACCCTGGCTGATGAGAGCTTCCACACACTCCGCGTGTCCTTTATATGCGGCCAGGTCCAAAGCAGTGCGTCCCTTCTCATCCTTAATGTCCAGATCTACCAGTGACTGGAGAAGAACTTCCAAGGCTTGGTGATGACCATTATAGGCCTAGAAATATGAAATGAATCATGTAAGGAACAAAGCAAAGCAGATCATAAGAGTCACAATTTTTGTTTTTCAAAGACTGTCACAAAAATGCAATCTGCCATTGACACTGTCTCTGAAACATCGTAGAAATGACAGGTTTTTTGATGCCTTATGACTCTGTCCAATACTCCCAAGGTTACATGGACTTTATCCACATTACACTGTGGATGATACAAGTAGCCAAGACAGCCCAAAACTCTTAAGAGTTATCGACAGAAATTACAGTCTTTGACTTGCTCTGATCTTCTAATACAAGCCGGGGGAGAAACTGCAGACAATAATTCATCAGCTCAGCACAGGCAAACGAACAAATAATTTTTCACATTCTATTGCATCTTTCAGGAAAACGGTTGCTTCAAAAAACTAGACACACTGATGGTCAGAAGTCACGTGGATTAGCACTTAACTGGGTGCTAAATTCAACTCGTCTAACTGTTTTGGTTAGCTAGCAATTTAGTATGGCATACTACAGGTCTCCAGCTGAATGAAAGCAATTCTCAAGACAGATTTTTGTGCACATCTTTGTGATCACAAACTTTAACTGTTGTTTACAGCTGATGCTTTCATAAGCATATCCCAGCCAGCCGAATCATTTGGTAGAACAATTACAGCAGACAAGTAAATACACCTCCAGGCCTACACCCATGTTTGGACCCCCTGCACAAATCAGGCTGACTGCAGAAACCTAATGGACAGCCACAGAAACGGGATGCAGTTCATTCAGCTTTGTGGAGACTGTCCTCCTCTTCTTAACCTCAGACTTAGAGAACATGCTTTCGATTTATGCACACATGTACAATTACTACTATCAGAGTTGAAGCAATTTGAAAATAGCAAAGAAATACATATCCATATCAGCCATGTAACAGTTTTGTGTCTTGGTATAGGTTGCTGGCTTTCTGGACCCATGTGTGGACCCGTTTGTGTGGATGCTTTCGCATGGACACCGCTAGAACTGGGGAGCATGGCTACAGGCAGGGAGGTTTTGAAACAAATGTCAAGAGATATTTATGGGTGTTTGCAGTTAAGTGTGAGAAATAATGATGTTTTACGTAGACTTAATTTTTTTTTTTTTTAAACTCTGGTTTTGGGGTATCTCAGGTGAATGAAGTACTGTTACCAGCAGGAAAATGTAACAGGGAGAGCCACTGGCATTGTACTTAACAAGGATTTTGTCCAATGGGGACCAGAGAGGAAATGAGTTTGCTGTCTAGCTGGCTGCCGGTCAAATCCCTTCCCAGCAAAGGGATTTGCACAGGTGATAGAGTAGGTTGTAACTCCCATTTGAGCCTGGGAGAGATGCTCTTTTCAGCAGTCTCTGAATCACAGAGAAAAAGATGGAGAGAAGAGTTCAGTGACAAATTCAGTCCTTTAACCCAACTAGTTTGGCTCTGTTCCCTCAGATTGTGTGTGGAAAATTCAAAAGCCAGGTCACAGCTGTTTCGACTGACTGGGCAGCAGAGATCTGATCACTTTTGATCACTCAAGAACCTGCCTCTCTTTTCCAGGAAGGAAGTTCCTTTCCTTTCGAGAGGAGGCAGCTAACGGTGAGGTTGAATATTCAGTGAAGGGCTATTCTGTGAAAGGAATTTGCCACTTAATTTCACTTTGGTGTCCAGGTCTTCCTCTTAACCAAGTGGTGCTACAGTCAGTAAGAGCCAGCGACTTCAACAAAACTTAATTAACAGTTACAGTCCCAAACCAGTTTTTTGTTACATCGAGGCCTACCCTCCTTCCTCGCTGTTTCAGAACAGGTCTGTGATTAGATCTACTTCAAAGACAGAGATTAAGGAATTATTCTAGGAGATAACGATCAAACACCATACATGTCTCATACTTACAGCTAAATGCAAAGGACTTTTCGTAGCTGCAGAATCGGATTCCTCAAACATATTGTTGGTTTTTTCCAGAAGCTGAAAATGAAAAAAAAAAGACAGTCTTAAAGCACCTTTGCAAAGCACAAATTCTAATGTTGTGATAACGTAAGTTAAACAAAATGGTCAACTTACAGCGTACTTCACGTTGGTGGGAAGGAGAGAGAGAGTAGAGTTTGTCACTCTACAATTATATTTTATCAAATTAAGTATTAAAAATAGCAAATAATTTTGAATAGTAAACAATACTCTAATTCTAAGCATAAAATTAAAATGCTTGGACACAAATTAATAAAAGCAGCTTTCAGGATCTTGTGCATGGAATGCTCTATGGTACATGAAGTAGAGCCTATTTTTCATAATGACCTCTGGGTAAAAGAGATTGTAGACTGAAAGTCAATCTGGTTCCTACTGAAAACAGTCAAGATCTCCATGACTTCAGAAGTAAGGAGTCCTTATCTGCTCCTCAATTTCGTTTGAATATACAAAGATTAAACATTTTCTGGGCTTTGTTTTTGTTTTTTTATAAGCCATAATACGATCCACTCATACAATATCATTCACTCATATGATGAATAATAAAATTGGAAAGCCATAGGTTAGCATAGGTTAGCAGATTTCAACAATCTTATCTACTAAGCTTCCTGGAAACAATCTCTTGAACTAGCTGAATTCCTGTTCAAGCTTGACTTTTGCTTGGACTGTGACAGGTAAGTTCTGACGGACTATAAGTCAGCAGGCAAAGATATAGTTTCTCAGATACCTGCAGTGAATATTGAAGGATACTGAGGAATAAATACTTCATAACCTTTCCTGTAAAATATTTTCAAGTTTTTTCCACAGAGTAAAGGCATAACACTTGTTTAAAAGCTTGTCACGAACATCCTTATCCTGATAATTAGTCCTTTTTTGAAATCACAGGGACTGCTTGGGTGAGGAAAGAAATACTCAGAAAAAAGAAGGGTTTGTGGAGTAGAGCACTCTGCTAAATTCACGTTAGAAAAAGTGCTGTTTCATGAATACACAGATATCGCGTGCACAAGCCACATCTGATACAGCGTTTCAGATCATTCTGACATGTAATTAGGACGGGGAATAATTATAACAGAGCTGTGAGTCATTCATAGTCGTCGTTATGAATTTATCAAAGTAGAACCTACTGCTATAATGACAGTCTTTCAAAACACAACACATCCTTGAACGCTTACAATCATGAAACGGCTAACACGTTTAATAAAATGTATCATGTTTTTATATTATCCTTTTCATTTCAAAGGATACCAAAGCATTTTAAGGCTTAACAGATGGGGCAGTTCCATCCACTCAGCAGGAGGACACATAGATCTACTGAGACCAAAAACCCTCCATGGCAGCAAATGGACCCTGGCAACTTACCCAATTCAGGCTGCAAAGAAAATCTCTATACGGTATTGACAACAATACTGAAAATTCAACATTTGTGAGTAGCACCACTGGCGTGCGTGGCATTTGACTTAATAGCTACTCAAAGGGTTAGTCTCCAAAAACCTTTATGACTGGAAAATAGCACTGTACAAAACATTAATAATAGGAGATGGTAAAAGGAAAGAAAAGCACAATAAGTAACTACATCTGACTTGTAAGGCTGCTAAGGTGACGAGTCAGTTCTTCACAGTTTTTTGGTGTTTGTTTTAGGTTTTTTTTTGTTTTTTGTGTTTTTAAGAGAGTAAGGAGTTAACTGAAGGACTGAAAAAATGGAAAGGAAGAGTTTGTGACAATCTGGACAATTCGAGGGCACGACACCAGGGAGGAATCCCCGGAGAGAGGGGTGCGAGCTTACAGCCGGCACAGAAAGTGCCTGCCCACGCAGCACGAAGCTGCCATGCCCTAAACTCTGCTGTACGCCTCAGCTTTTACCGTAACAAACTAGTCTTTAATAGACCTTCATCAAGGATAAACTTATCCAAAATCAAGCCAGAATACCAGCTAGTGTTAACAGTGCATAAGGTGTCACAGATCTCTTACTAAACAAGGGCATTAATGTAAATCATATGGAAAAACTAGGAGATTAAGCAGTAATTTTGTATATTTGGGGAATAGTAAAATGTCAGGACTGGGAAAGAAATGTGTGCTAACGCAAATACCACTCAAATAAGCAGCTGTGCATATATTAGCAGGTAATACGACCGTTAATTCATCTCTGCAACTAAGGGACAAAAATCAAGTCCCACACCAAGTGTTCAGCATGTTTGGGGCAGGTTTAGGAAACGCGTCTGGTCTTACCATGTGGGGCCATCTCTAATTTAGAATATTGTTGTTCTCTTTAAAGTATTATTTAGTATCGTTAAAATATCCTCATTTAATGAAAATGAAACAACCAGTGTTTGATGGCATCTAGGATTATTGTTAAACCATCTGTTGGATGAATCCATCATCTTCAGAGACATTTCCCAACAAAAAAGCAACATATAACATAAACCGGGTGATGCAACAGCCAACTGCGAATACATGCACGTGAATTTTAAGTTACCCAAAGCATGTTTTGAGCAGATGATTATTTTAATTCTCATTTTCTCTAGTGAGTAAACAAACTAAAAACACCCCGCCAAACAAACCCAAGCACTAAGCCTGTTCCCCTGGCAGTCTAACGCTGGCCCGTCCTACTCCAAAGCTATACGGCTAGCACCGAAGCCAAGTTTAATTGCTTTTAATTACATCATTTGTTGACATTTCAAGATCAAAATCTTAACAGAGAAATAGTTCTCTTAACCTGTCAGAAGGCTCCGAAAATCTTCTGGAAAAAGGCAGGTAATTGCTTTTTGAGCAGATCAAAAAAATATATTGAAAATAGACAGAATTAAGGCTCTAGAGGAACAAATTGTGGGATTGGAAAGCCTCTCACAAAAGGTATCTCAGTGGCTTAGAGTTAAAGCTGCTTAGACTGAGGCAGACGAGGCTTAATGAGCTTATTACTCACAACGCTGAATGGCTCTGTCAAAGTCGAGTATAAACAGGAATTTGATGGTAAACCTGGTAGCTCCCAGATACACAGCCAGGCAGTGCAAGAAGAGGAATTATAAAGTAGAACAAGCTCAGGAAGGTTAAAAATATGGCATTAAAATTCTTCTCGTATGTCTTTTCAAGTACAGCTCTTTATAACAATGAAAACTAAGTTATCAGATAAAACTCAACGAGACAAAAAGGTACCAGGTCCAAGTTACCAGGCAAGTTCTCCAGAGTTTCATTAGTGTTTCCTGTGGTTCTAAAAATGCATTCAGAGTAAATTTACATGTACTTGTTATAAGAACACATAAAAAAGGGGTGCCCTTGGGGCTCTAACTCCGTAAAGCTTCCATCTCAGAGTACGCTTGTGAGAAGCTGCCCATAGTTACATCTGTCTCTAAAAGAGGGTGAATGTATTGCTCAAAACCACTTGTCCTGACAGTCACGGGAGCTTAAATCCACAGACCCCGGTGAACACCCGTTCTCTCCCTTTTGTGGTGCCTTACCTGCCTACCAGAAGTTGGCCAACGCGTTTCACTCAAGACAGACAGACAACCGTGAGTTACCAAGAGTTTGTGGTTACCGCTGGCTGACTGCAGCAAGTCGCAATATATCTCATTTCTAATTTGTTGTGCCATTGAGATTGCATCTTTTTGCTCGTTACGTTTCTAGACGTTGATCGTCTGCAGATTTTAGGCGGACACCAACACTGTCAGGCTCGTGCAGGGAGAGAGTGAGTGAAAGTGGTGGGCACCGGCCTCGCTTGTTGAGCTATAACCTGGAAAAAGGCAAGGATCCCCCTACTCTAACCGAAAAAAACAACAAGGTTGTGCTTTTTTTCCTCCGTTTTTCTGACTCAGATGTGCCTTTTAATGACTCTGGTTATTTTATATGATCGTCCTTATAGACTATAACATGCTCTAAAATTCAGCTCTAGTTAAAAATTACAGCTTCACAGAGCACCTCTGTAACTTAAATTACCATTAGGCAGAAAAGCAGATAATAATTTCACTATGCATAAAGGGTTTAAACTACTCTTCTAAAGGGAAGATGCTAGAAGCAGCTTCGAACTAGAGATACTGTAACAACGAGTGCTATCTCAAATCCTAAAATAGAACAAAACACATGATTCTGTACCAGACATCATGCCCTTACAACTTCAGAAACACCAATTTACGCGTACTACTGTTAGTTATGTCAAAGGTTTGATCTAACTAACTACCATTGAGGGTAACGTGATTTTTTTTTTTCATTGAGGGTTTTACTATTTTAGTGAGTAAAGCAACTTCTGAGTTCCAATATGGATACTTCTAGCATCATTAATTACTTTAATTAATTAAAGTAACTGTTAATTACTGTTGCTGTCAATCTTCTTAAGTTTGTCGCAATAAATACTAACCATAAAGTGGCAAAACATTATATTAAAGGGGTATAACCTATCACTGGCCTTCACTCTGAAATGGTATTAAGCAAATAGCCTACGGAAATTTTCATACATGTGAAGAGCTAATCAAAAGGCTATTTAAAAAAAAAATAGTTGAACATTGTTCTTTTGCAATAATTATACGGCAATCTAGCTTATTATTCATAAGGTCATTCAGAAGTGGCAATTATTGACAATCTTTAGTGCCACTTTCAGCACTGAACAAAAATATATTATCTAGGACGTCATCCTGAATGTCATCTTTCCTGATCAATTGCAAAAGATAATTATTGCTACTCTGGGAAAAGATACCAGTAGCAGCTTCGTTTAAAAAAGGTTTTTCCAGTAAGGAGCAAGCACAAAATTCAAGACTCTCATCAGCTGTTTCAGACAACAGAGTGATAAAATTAACCTCTGTACTACTTCTATATAAAGGAAGGACGTTTATAGTCTCAGAATTATTGACTGAATAACTCAAAGTGTTAAAAATTATATAAGGGATAAGTAATCCTATAAGCTCAGTCCATATCTGTAAATACAAATAGTTAAACTAGTTTAACCCGATTAAATCAGAACTGATGCATCTCCTAAAACCAGCCTGATACGTTTTCTTGAAATCAGGCTTTAAAATCAGTTTAACCAGCGTTTACAGCAACTTAGCTCGTGTCAGTAAATTATGGGTGAAGTTAAAATAACATAAGGCAGTACAATTAAGTTTTGCAAAAGCTTGAAGTAGACTGATTTTGAAGTCATTCCACGCAACTCTTCTAGTACAAAGCTTAAATACCCACTACCCCACCAGAACAACCACTGCCAGGCACACAGGACACTTACCTGGGATATAAGGGAAAAACGCTCAGGTCCTTGAACATACCTGAACCTCAAGCAGACCCCCAGGCTGTTAGCTGTTCTAACATGAGATGCTGATCTTCCATGAGACACCGTCTCCTGTTGGGGCTCTTCCACTTTATACAAAACTATTTCTTATTAAGCCATATGAGTGCCATAACCGATAGGTTAATGCAGGAGAGTCTCACCTCAGTGAGTATTCATACAAAGCAGAACAGCTCCCAGCAAGAGATCCTGTCTAGTACCAGCCAACATGAAACACGTGTCATTTGCCAAGAAGTAAAAGTTCAATTTCTTTGTCAATCGCAAAGAGCAGAGATTTGAGGCTGGATCTTTTGCATTCCCACCATGTAGCGCATGCTTCTTGCTGACCAGAAATTCTGCCTCAGAGCTTCTATGAAGCCCTAACGCGCTGGTCTGAGCGAAGGATTTGCAAGAACTCAGACGTTTCTGTAAGGTTTACAGGAAGGCTTTTGTTTAGACAAATCATTATCCACAAAAAACTCCCTCTTTAGTGGGAAAATTTCAGCTGAAATACAGTGACAGTCAGCTTTAAAAATGTGTACTTCAAACGCGGTTTTGCTACTCTCCTCTCATTTGTCTCTACTGTGAGAAAACACAAGCGCTCTTTAGATTCGGACCCGCTTGAAAATGTGTAGTTTATATTTCTTCTCTGAACCACTTTGAAATTGGCCATGTTCTTCCAGCAAACAGACAAGGCTGGTTCTGTTTCACATTACCCAACGCAAAGTTACTTTAATATCCAGGAAAGCATCATGCCAGTGAGGTACGTGCACTCGACCCCACAGCTCCTCAGACGGCCCGAGGAAAAAGAACAGGATTTCTAGCAAAGCTCGAGCGTCTACAGGCAACAGCAATCTGGAAAGCTGATTTAAACGAAAGCGGCACACGTGCAGTTGCTTGAAGTACATGGCATGCTGGCTAAGAGCCATGATTCTTCTTGTTCGGGCCTTATCAGAGGGAATGCAAAGAATTGCAAAACAGTAAGCTTAAATAAAAACCAAAATACACAACATGCAATGGTTTTTCATTTACTTACTATATCCAGTGGAGTTTTGCTTCCCATCTAATTAAAAATATCATTTAGTATAATTAAAGACATAAATATTAAGGTATGATGGCAACCTGCAAGAGTTTTTTTTTGTTCTTTGCTGTAGAATAAACTGCATTGCAAGCACTTCGTGAACAGAATCACGAATCAAGACCCGATCCTGCGCCCATCTCCACACTGTCCACCCCCAGATGAAATACTCCTGAAGCAACAAGACTACAGCTCACTGTCAGGCAGCCCCTGTGAACATACACCAGCGACACTACTTCACGGGGGAGGAGGGGAAAAACCGAAATAATTTCCAACAAGGACGTTTAAGACCAACCTATTTGATACAGAATATTTTCCTATGCCAGAAAAAGACTATCAACTACAATTGAACTTATAGCAATACAGGGACTGACAAGATACTCTATACTTCTCTTACAATGACAAAACACCCGAATACCTCTGACCATAAAAGTTCCTGTAAGGACTTTGCTAGAACCCAACAGGGATGACTTTGCCTCTCCAAGGGCTATGTTGACAAAAATAATTATTTTCCCAATGTGCTTCTCTCTATATCTTAAGGAAATGGCAAAATAACAGTGCTCTGGACTTTACAGTCTTCCACAATTTCTGTGTCCTGTTCATACTGGACAGCTTGTTTATGTTTATTTTCTTAACACTACAGCTAGTTGCTGCCATTGGGAAATTGTCAGTGCTGCTCTGCAACAAATAGCAAGGCATTCATTTAATTTAAGGTGCAAGTATGAAGAACAAAGAGGTAAATGGGAGAGGGAGCGACGTTCCCAGCAACACGGGCTGTCAGCAGGAGATGTGCTGGTCAAGGCCTCCGAAACCAGCAGCAGGACAAACGGGCCAGGCACCGCTCCGGACGCAGAGACACGCGGGCAGGAAGACATCGCTGCCATAGGAAAGGGGTGTTTTGAGAGCCTCATCGCACCAAATAAATGCTGCTGCTTCTAATTCTCATGTGAACGGGTTTGAATTATTGGTGCAGTTCTGGATAATAAGTAATCAGGTTTCTGGGAAGAGCCTGTTTTAATCTTACTTCTGCAATTCACTGCTGTCTCCAACGTTATTCCTGGGAACAGACATGGAGATCCTCCCTTTTAAAATACCTTGAAATAACAAGACAAGTGGAGATGAAGGAAACTTCTTCTTAAGATGCACTTTTTGTCTCTAGTACGTAATTTCGATAGAGTCACATTCATCCCTCACACAATACCAGTTCCCAAAGTGATACTGCATGCAGGATGAATCTGGCTCCCAGATTTGATCTATGGAGCACCCAAGTAATGCACCATCCCAAGCGCGTTACCTTCACTAGAAGACAAAATAAACAAACTGATCTATATGGTGATCAGAAGGAAAGCCCAAATACTGAGCAACCAATCACTGTGGTAAATTAACTTGTACGAACAGTTATTTAGGCTATATTTTGATTCTAACCTGTAAATTCTGTATAAAGTAAGTCGTAGTACAATTTTGTCTCCCTAGCACTGCCAGGTAAAGATTAAAAACCTAGATCTTCCTTTATTATACAGTCGGCCCCATTAGTCCCAAATCTCCCATGATGGGAAGTTACTCCACGCCATCAGGGAACAGTCATGGATTTACATGGAAAGTCACTAACGCTGCAGTCTGCCACGAGCTGCGACCATGGCAGCCTAGCTGACCCTATTGAAAGGCTGGAGATTTTAAGGCTAGGCTCTGCTGTGCATAATTGAGCTACCTGCCTTGTACCAGCATTTTTGGTATTTTGCTAGGCAGTCCTGAGAAGCAAGCACTTAGCTCTTACCTAGGGAACAGAGAGGGGCCCTTCAGAAGGCCACCAGGGGAGCTTCTCTCCTTAACGTGGGTCTTCAAAGGCATCTCCCTCTCTCCAGTGACTATGTAGGGTAAAAGTAGGAGCTGCAGAAGTGTCCAGCTTCTCTGTTGCAAGTCAAATGCCCAAGGTATGTCAACAGGGTCCTACTCCTGTGTGGGAACACTTATAGAGGCTGAGAAGATGGATACTTACTCTTTTGATTTACCGGCAGCTTGGGGAAGTTAAGGAGACTGAAACTAATCAGCTTTTTCTTAAGAATTTTCCCTGCAGCTAGTAAAGCCATTCAGAAAGGTCACGGGTCACAAACGGCTGATTTTCTTGGCCGCAAGGTATAAACACAGGTTTAAACATAACGCCGTGCTTCATCTGCCTCTAAACACAAACCGCTCCGCAGGCTTCAAATTACTGATCTACACACACTGCGGGAGTCTTTACCCAACAAATAAAATTAGATTGCCTTTTAAGCCTACAAATACCAATAAGCTAGTGACGGTTCCTTTTTGAAAGCCTGCCCATGTAGGCAAACATCTTCCCTTGCATAAATACCACTGATGACACCCGCAGAGTCCCAGCCCACACAGCTGTTTCCTGAGCTACACGATCTAACGCAATGCCATATGCCCCGATCTAACGCTCTTCTCGTTGGATTCAGCAGGTTAGAAAGAGTCAGATGCTCTTCATACATTTGTGTCTAAATGCCACACACACACACACACACACAAGTATTTAAGGCAGCAGCAGAAGTCCTCACCTCCTTCCCAAACTAAAGCAAACCTTCCTCCTGAACGAGAACAGCCTCGTCACTGTCTGTCACAAAGTAGATGCTAGCGGCCTGCTCCGCCATCTGGGAAAAATAAAACTAAAAAACTAAAACCAGACAAAATCTGTCAGAGAGACAGAAAAAAACCCTCAGAGACCACAGGCAATACCGCTTCCCTAAGAGCCAGGGTGCCGGCAGGGTGCCGCAGCAAAGGCAAGCCCAGGGTCCTGCGTTTGCCCAGCGTTAGCAAGCCGTTCCGGCCTTCTAGACAATGCTTTTACAATCAAAGTCATCTAGTTTCCAAAACATAACATCAAAGCCAAAACGTACTGCTATAAACTAACAGCATATATAGGCACGTAGCTCCTACTGGTAGTTTAACCGGTGGAGGCATTTTGAACTCATGCTGACACCAACCTTAAGCAAGTAAAATCAATCTACCACTATTTGGGGGATCCTAGCACTGACAGAGAAAATAATAACAACCCTAACAAACCTTCCAACAATTAAGTTCCAAAATTATTTTCCTGTTGTGTTGTCTCTTTTGGTACCAGTAGAGTAAATGACTTCAAGCTTCCTCTGCAAAAAAAATGACAAAAAGGGGCTATAGAGCGGTTGGGCTGGATAGAAAGGGTTTCTCAGTACCATTCACAGACAGCTGCACACTCGCAAACACTGAGCCACAGGAGCAAGCGGCTCGAGTCAGTCCCCACAAGCATTGATAAAGGCCCTTTTCTTACAAAGCATTTAAATATATGCCGATATTTTTCAGCATTACCAAAAGTTTCACTTCACATCACATTCCTTGAACTCTGTGCCTGGACAGTCTATTTATTTGAAAGCTCCTTTTACATATTATTGCCATTTTCGTATGAAAATAAGCATCTGAATTCCTAACCGCACCAACTAATTTGAGAGATAAGCTAAAAAAAAAAAAAAA